GGAGGGGGCGCGCCGCGGGGGCCGGGCGGGGGCCCCTGCCCCTGCAAAGCCACCTTCGTTACGCAGCAGGAAGGACGAGTCGCGGGGAGCCCAGCCGGGGGAGGGGGAGAGAGAGAAGAAAGAAACAAAGCGGGGGTGGGGAAGGCTGAACAATATCCAGACAACATGCCAAGATGTACGTAATAGTCCACACCCCTCCCTCTCCGCTGTCCTGGTGCCAAGCAGCCAACACGCGGCGAGGGACGGGCCCCGAGGGGATTGCGCACCGGAACCACAGGAGCGCGGGGACGAGGTATTTCTTGCAGGTGACGCTGCTCCGGCTGCCAAGCCAGGCAGCTACAGAGGCACCCTCCAGTGAGCAGAGGCTTCGCCAAAGAAAGTGCGCGCAGGGGCTGGAGCGATGAGGAGACCGAGAGGCGGTGAAGAGGCAGGGTGGAGAGATGCAGCCTGGAAAGCAGGTGCATGGTGCACACCAGTAGCAGGAGCATATGGCAGGCAGCTTACAAATCGAGATGGAGAATACAGAGTCCAGCGTGGGTGAACCCTTGCAGAAAAAATAGTTCCCCTCTACCTCGAGTGAAAGAGCTTTTGTTCCTGACAAGGAACAAACTGGAAAAAAAGTTAGTGGCTATGTAGTGATGGGTGCACTCAGATTACTAGGAGAGTGAAGAGGAATGCTCTGACTTAATATTGCTTCACTTTAATCGAGGCTTGCCCAGCCCTTGAAAAGCGAACATGAAATATGCTCCTCTCAGAAGTAGTTGCAGTCTGGAAGCATACCAGAGAAGAAATGAACTCATCTAACAAATGAATGGAAAGAAATAAATTTCTCTTTTATATTATCCCAGATGAAAGATCCACCAGAAATTCTTTAAAAGACAGTACGAGGCAGGTGGTGGAACTATTCAAATTGTACATGGAACCATAGTCAGTTGCATGATAATCTAGTTAAGTTTTACCTCCTGGAGGATGGTAATGGACATATAGGTAACATTAAGAATCAAACAACCCTATATCACATATTATATTAAATCACAATATACTGGAAATAGTATCTCATCTGAAGAAGTGGGTTTTGCCAATGAAAGTTCATGATACTAGTCTCTAAGGTGTCACAGGACTACTTTTTTAAAGTTACAGACTAACAGGCCTATCCCTCTGAGACCTGATCAAAATGCAGTATAAGACAGTTGTAGCTACTAAGTCCAAAGCCATCCACAATGCAAACTACTAAAAATGGTAAATTATTTACAAAATAAATTGGTAATGTAAAGAGATTTTTTCCCATGTTGCACCGGGGGAAGAGCAAACTAACTAGATAGACTTGAAAGCAACAAGTTTGCACAAGCAATGAGAAACAGTATCAATACATGAGTTTAATTTTAAATAACAAATTTAGAAATACTGCATATAAGTGAAGTGAAGAAAAAATTAACTGATTCATTAAAATATGTACCCAACTTCAGAAACAGCACTTTAGGGTAATGTTATGAAAAAATGTATTAAAGAGGCGGAGAAGCTGTAAAACAAGGAAGAGTTATTTTTTAACTAGGCAACAGGAAGCTAATATTAATCACAACATAATAACTGCAAACTACAATAGAATTTCTGAACAAAAAATACAAATCAAATGCTGTGAAGAGTAAAAAAAATATCACCACATATATGTTGCTATAATAAAAGTAAGGCATCTAAAATAGACAACAAAATAAGCTGACAGCTCTTGAAATTAATGCAAGCAACACATAGGGCACACAGAAAAAGAAAATGGAAATAGGGTGAAATACATAAAATATATTCAGCAATGCACAAAATAATTACGGAAGCAAAGAAAGGCAATGCTTGAAAATGAATATAATATTCAAAGACATGAAAGTGTACCCAAAATTGTACCCATGTGCTTCATAAGGTTATTAAAATTACTAAAAGAGAGCATGCTTTACAATGAAAAAAAGAAAAAAATGCAGATGACACTTTCTGTAACAGATGAGAAAGGGATTACCATCTTGCAGATTGTTTATATAGAAACATCTTTTTCCGCCACATAGATTGAAATTATTTTAGTCTTTTTGAGAGAGACTGTTTTGGGTAAAAATGCAAACACTTGAAAAATGTCATTTAAATAGTTGAGCCTAAATTTTCTGGAAATGGTGGAGAATATCTACAACTGGATCAGTTCTCACATTTTCAGAATAAATAGTACTAAAGTTTAGCAGATGAAAAAGACTGACCACTGGAGTACACTAAAGAACAGAGGAGATGTTGAAAAATGAGAACACATCAAATGAGAATACGTCAAATGACAACACATATATACTTCGCAGATGTACTTTAAAAAATAGCTATTAACAAATCCTTGGAACTAGGATCATGGCTATAACACCTTGTAAATTGATCACCAGATGAGATTAAAACAATTTTAAGACAAAATTAAAATGTGTTTTAAAAATACATTAGCCTCAATATTAAAATACATGTAAAAAAACCCTTAAAATGCACAAGATTAATAATTTTCTGTTTTAAAACAGCAACAGTAAATTTGAAGTGTGTGAAAGTAAAAATCCGATAAAATTTTAACACAGGAGCCTAAATGATATGGTTATGGATACTAACCAAACTGACAAATATTCTGTGAATTATATAATAATGAATGTGTGTCTGGGGCTTGAGATAAATGGTTTTGAAAAATAACTGCTGTGAAATTGCATATGTGTACATATACCCAATAAATGCCATACCACACTAACATACTTAATTATTGTACATCACCTACCCCTCTTAACACACTAATTACAGGCTCTGAACTTTGACTAGTGAAATACTTTCCCTGGTTTAAAATACCAATGCCACATTTGGTAGTGAAGATCAAAAATTGCTAACACTTTGTAAAAACATATAAATGTAAACAGATCGCTTAAGTATATCAACTTTTAATATAATGCCCTACTGGAAAGAGGCAAAAGATACATAAATACAGTGGATTGTATGCAGTTAGTAGTCTAAATGTACAACTGCACTTTTCAGATTAGTTGAATGTCAAGTGAAGAGGTAAATACTTATATTAAATTTGCTTCATTATAGTAATCAGAAGTCAAAATTTCAAATTAGAATGTGTCTTCCCAAAGTTGTATAGGGGCACAAGGAAAGTTTGTATCCCATTTTTGAACTCTGGAATGAAGTGAAGTGCCTTTGTTAGTACCTGGATTACAGAATGAATGCCTTTAGAGTGGAGTGTTGCTATAGTTCTTTCTAAGGATTTATTCTGATCTTCTCTTTATTCAAGGTAAGTTGGTATAGATCTGCACGCTTAGAGTCAAAATCTGGAACTTGGTAGGATGGTTCATGTATAAAGCAAACAGGACACAACCTGGAAGCATCACAAAATTGGCTATAGAGACTGCTCCTTTAGTTTTAGATTTTTGTACAAATCTGATTGTGGTTGGATTTTCCACATTTGCATTTCTGAGAACGATGAGGCACTAGCATGGCTCAAGTAATGACCTGTGTTGGAAGTAGTGCAGAGAGGCTGCACTGCAGCAGCCATCAATAGGGAAATTCTGGCTGGTTCCCAGAGTGTTACATCAGAATGGCAGCTCCTTCTCTGTTTCAAGAGAGGAAGTGTGCACTCTTCCATGCCTGGACAGTTCTGCTGCTTAGTATGGGAAGAGAGAATACTAAGTCCTGGCTTTCAAGAAACTAGCATCCATGGTCACTAGAATGGCTCCCCACTTGCAGGAGCTTGTATGCAATGCTTCTCAGAGGTAAGGGAAACAAGAGGTGGGAAGGCCACTGCACTTCCCTTCACACTATCCCTTGTGCTCCTGTGCAGAGGTGGGCACAGTCGAGTCAATGGTGTTTAACTCGTACCTACGACCATGCATATTTTATACCTTTATATTAACATGTGCTCAAATCTGGTTGTTTAATGCAGTTACTTCTCCACTGGACGTAGCCCTGAATTGCACATTAGAAATGAAAAATCACTGTCTGAAACTACAGTCCAAACAGTTTCCCTGACCTGACTACCACAAACACAAATTACGTATTGTGTGTGTGGCCAATACGTACTGCAACATTTTGGAATTAGGGTTGCCGCACTTGGTATCATCTCTCTCAAAGAAGTGAAAAGTGTGTGTGAAACATGCATTTTGATCAGTGTGGACAGTATGTGTCAAAAAAGTAGAAATGCTGTAGGTTTTGTTTAACTGAGAAGCATATCACAAAATGTTATAGGGTCCCTTCTCATTTTTATCTGTTTTTTCACATATGATATTCTGAAACATTGTATAAAATGACTTTCACGTATAATAGCAAACTATCCAACTTCAATTAATTGCTTATTAATTGAACTAAATTATCCTTACTATATCTATTGGAAGTGAAAAACCTACATATGATTCACTTATTCATTTATGTACTCAAAATTCCCTAGAAAATATCAGCTCCCGCTACATGATGCCCCGTAGTGTTGTATTTTACATTTAGATGTTTCAGTTAGTTTACAAATGTATAAAATCACACGCAGGCAGACATCCATCTCTCCCACTGCCTACCTACCTAATGAGGCCCATGTTTATTCCTGCAAATGTGTTCCACAATATATTTTAATCAAGGAACTTTCTTTTGATAAAATGGATAAGATTATGCAAATACAATTTAGGGCTAAATCTACTTTTACTCATACCACTACATGCCTTTGCATATATGCACTCGATAGTCATATTTTCGTTTGGATTGTGATAATTGCATGATTGGGAAAAACACATACTTTAGTTGATGTGACCAGTCTCATCATTTAAGTTTGACTATAGCTGCCACAAGTCACATCAAGGCAAATCACTGTGAGAAAATTATGGCGTAAGTACAAACATATCACATTTTTGTAAATTAAGAGAGGGGACTGGATGGCTAAGGAGACGAATAATGGTAAAACATGGAGTCTTTCACCTTTAGGTTGCCAATTCAAATCCAAGTTAGTTGCAATGCTAGTGGACAGGAGTACACATCACAAAAACCCCCCTCAAAATTAGTACTAATGGGCACTCTTGTTGGCTCTCAGAAGAGAAATCTTGGACAGAATTGGTATGCAAACTAAAAACCCTAAAAATGGTCCTACTAGAAGATGCTTTTTGTTGGAGTAGTGTGGGAAAGCGGACCTTGTTGCTGCTCAATCTATGCCCTTTGTATAGACAAATAAGGAATTGAGTGTAACTAATTTACATCACCTTATATAAGAATGCTTTTATGGCATTGGGTTTGCAAAGAGTGGGCCACATTTTAAAAGAGACCTCCATAGATCTGTCTCCTTCATAATTCTACATACCACATTCCCATTACTACAGGGCAACTACAATAATTACTTGCATGGAAATTTGTAATAAGAAATTATTTAAAATACTCTTTTAATGTAATTTAGCAGCTTGAAGCAAAGAGGAAAGCCAGCATCATATGATCTGCCTGGTCTTTTACCTTGCAAGCATTCCACAGATCACCAGTAGCCCTCAGGTCACAGTTTGAAGGCACTGTTTTAAGGTAACTTTTTCAAAATACATCTCCAGGAAAGAAATTTAATTTTGAGGGGTGCTCTCTGTTAAAAGTCTGATTTTCCCAGACACTAGATAATTAGTAGGCAAGGGATGGGGGTGGAGGGTTGGAATTGCAAACAATTATGTCAAAAGACTTGGTTAATAAGCAGTGTTATTTTAAGGACATGTTCAAGCAGCACCTGTATTCTTTTTGGAGCTTGTTGGGATGCTGTAAACATTACAGTGAATATTATAGAAGAGCTTAATATCACAGATGTAAGCAACTATCAACAAAAACACTCAGATCTTTTTATTCACTAAAGTCAGAGTTAAACTGGTATTTCCAAACTATTTTGCAACACAGTTGAGTGTTATTTTTTCGAACTACTGAATTTCTCTCTTGATCTTACGTAAACATTGAGCTAATAAAGAAAGAGGCTTCCAAGCAACCCAGAAGTTTAATCCAACACTTTTGAGTAAGAATGAGATTTTCACACAGTCCAAGCAAAGCTGCATATTATTACAATGCAAAACAGCCCCTGCCACTACAGTTATCACTACACAAGGACCATTCAAATACTATTAGCAAGACGTTTGATGCTTGCTCTGATGATTTCCAAATGCAGAAATTTGTTATGCAGAAGCTTACTTCATCAACAATAAAACAATCTTTTTTTCCCCCCAGATTTCATTGTGCTAATAATTCTCTTTCTTGAAAATCTACTGATAATTCTTGTTGGCTGGAAACAGACAGGGAAGAGTTTAGGTCTAAAAAAAATTGTTAGAACTGGTTGATGACTTGAACTATGTCAAACTTTCAGTATGAAACCCAAAACCACATGCAATGTACTGGTTTCAAGTTTCATTAACTCAAAACTCTGCCCAAGTTCTGCCACACTTTTTCTAAGGTTCAAAAAAAGTGAAAGGGTGCACCTAATTTTGATCAAACATGGATGGGGTCAATATTAGGTTGGATCTAAAATCCATTCAAAATATGTGCTTTTAGTTCAAACAAGGTAATGTGATGATTTCAACTGAATTTGCTTTGAATTTTGAAGTTTGCTCCAATTGAGAGCTCAGAAAATTTCACAGAACAAAATCTGAAGAAAAAATGTTGCACTACGTGAAATAGTTTTGAAAAGCTCCATTGACAAACAATGATCACACACCATTATCTGGCAATATGGAGGTACTAACATAAAGGGTGTTCTTTTTACAATATCCAGTGCCACTATCCTATATGTAATTTATAGAAGTACACAGGAACATAATACAAGAGCAATAAAGGAACCTAACATTAAAGCAAGCAACCTTAAAATATTGCTTTCTGTCAGTATAAGCTTCCAGAACACTGGACTTAGCCAAATAAAAAGAATAACTAAAATAATGGAATCAGAACACTTAATAATGAAAGAAACGTGGTATTACAATACTTTTAATGTTTTTTACTCACCAAAACAGTGCTTCCTAGTTCCTGGTAAAAATTATGGTAAAGACTTGGTTGAGCAATTGATTCAGGTAATGAATTCATAACCTGAATAGAAATTCAGGTGAGAGTAATTAGAGATGGGATCCCACCAAAAAAATGAGTATTTTTAGGGTCTGTGGTTAGAAGTCAGGTAATAGATGGGAAAGTTTATACATACAAAGCCCTCAGCATAAGAAAAGAAATAAAACAAACACATCCCTCTAAATGAATACAATATTTTGGGGAAAATAAGTTTATATTTTAGTTGATATCTTTACAGTTCTTTAAAGAAATATGAAAACTGGTGTGCATTAACTTCCACCATCAAGCATCAATAGTTAAAACACATTTATTATTCATTTTATTATTTCTTATCAGTGTCTATATTTAATCCCTTCCATAGTACACAGTGATATACTATGTTTTGTGTTCAGTTTTCTTAAATCTCCCTTTATGATTTTTCCCATTTATAGAGATAGATAGCACCTTTGTGCAAAATTTTGAAATACATTACTCAAGAAAAATACGGAGGGTACTTTTTGTGTTATCTTCCAGTTCTTTATAATTTTATTGGTACAGTGTATAGCTGTAGAATTTATCTGCGCTATTCTTGAAGGATCTGCAGTTTCATATGTGGGTGGAACCAGATATGGAAAGATGCTTTTTCATTTGTACATCATCTTTCAAACTATTTAAGACTGGTGTAAGTGAGTGCAGTCACACAGAAATACCTTCAGTACCAAGTTGCCCCTATTTTACATAGCTATTTATTACAAGTTATATTTCTCCCAAATATTGTGTCACACAGTACATCACATAGTGCAGAATAAACATTTGTTTCTGATATACAGAATATCTTCATATACAAGCATACACCAATCTACTAGCATCACCAAATTGTGCTTTAAAAGGATTACATCACTCAACACCAAAATTTAAGTCTCCTTTTATATAATTTTCTGTTAAAATAGCTTTTGGGGGAAAAGCACACAATATTTATCAATTCTTTCATTTGCTACCAGCTTGTTGCCATTGTCAGAATGCAGCAAAGTGGTATGTCTTTTCTGTTTTATTTAGATGCGTGTAAATCTTTCCATGTACAAAAGGAATGTTACTGCCAGTCCATACTGGACTCTCAAAAATAAGGAATAAAAATAGTATTCTGTACTATCAAATGACTCAGAGAAATGTAAGGATGTCTGAAGTATATGCCTATTTAAGTATTATAACAATATGAGCACGTTTGTATGTATATGTAATACACGGCCAGATTCTATCCTGTTGCATCTATGTCATGTTGCTGAGGGTCACGGGCGTAGTTGAAGCCAGAATATGGCTCATTCAACTTAGTGTATTATGTTGACACAATTTTAAGACTAAATGACATTATGTAATTTATATCTAGTTAAAATGCCAGTTTCATGAGAGGATAATTTAACCCAAGTCAGAGCAGAAACCCCTGCAGTCAAACAAATTAAGAACAGTAAGTTAAGAACAAGAAAAAATGAGTTTATGCTAAGAAAAAAATACAAAGATGCATGAAAAGCACTATGCTATGTTAGATGTTTAACTATACATAAGAGACAGGTGTCACAAAAACAAACAAAAAAATCATGAAGTCAAAGAGAAACTTTAACTCACCAAGTTTCCATCTGTTAAATCTGAATCTATGCATAATTGATTATCAATGACTGATAAGTTCTTCTTTTTCTAGCCTAACACTCCACTACAGTAAACAGTTTTTGAAAAACAATAAGAACAGAATAAGGATTTTTAATGAAAAATTACATGTCAGTTAATAATACAGCTGACCTGTGTTTGACAATTTTAATCACGTGAATATTAAATATTAATAACCTAATCTGTTATTGTTACAGTATGGCTAAAAGCTGCTCCATGCTTAAAGAAAGAGGAAAACGTAGGAATATATAACAGTGGGGGAAAAGATACAGAAAGATGAGAAGCAGAGACATAAGGAAAATGTGTCAACAATAAACAAGAGGAAATGAGAAAGAAGAAAAAGATGAAGGTGGAAACTAATCTCTGTGTGTCATTATGACTGCCAGAGTACTGGCAAAGCTGCAGCATCCTTTTATTTCAATTTTAATCATTTCTGAATTTTAATACCCTGCTCCTTTTGTAATTCTCCTGGCATTCCCCATATGCATCCAGCCCAGCCAAAACACCAGTGTAAATTAAATGGCACACAACCACACTACTGATGTAGCTTTCCCAGAAGAACCAATCGAATGACCAAAAGCAGAAAAAGGTATGTCTACCTTGTGTGTCTGTGGATGGCTAGCCAATTAACTGACTTAATGTTCCCCTCTTTCTGTAATTTTGAAAAGAAGGGCAGTGGTTAAGTAACCTAGTAAAACAGAATCATTAAAAAAAAAAAAATAAAGCAAGCCAGTAGTAATACAATAATCAGTGACCATCAGGGCCTGGAAAAATGAGTTTGCTCTCACTGGCACTAAGGAGCATCACATGATTATTTAATTACAGCTCTAATTTTTGTCTCGTGGATGGCAACATATCAACAATTAATAGGGCAAATAGAGGAGACTGCATTTTTAAAGAGACAGAACCAATATGAAATACTGCATGTCAAACAGTAAAATGCTGCTTGAGGAATATCTTTCTTTGTACCATACAAATAACTCTGCTTAACTATGGAAGAAATATATTAAAACTATCAACTCTGCTAGTATAACTTTATTAGGTGGTATCTGAAAGCATTTTTCAGAATAATAAAAAATAATAAGCACCTTTATAACTATCCTACTAATAACACAACCAGTGAAAGGTTTAAAAGAGAAAAAGCCTGTTACAGGATAAATCACCCAAATAGAACATTTAATAGGATTCCAAGTTCAATAAGTGAAAATGTTGTTCAAGTGAACACATCCTTTATGTCTTTAGAAAAAACCACTACAGTATTCTGCAGTCACCAAATAATTCCAACCTTCATTAAGTCAAATTAGCTATTACAACTTCAGTGGGACAGAATGACTTCAATGGATTTTCTAACACACAGGACTAACTGATTTATTTGGGCATAAGCTTTTGTGGGCAAAAACCCGCTTTGTCAGATGCCACGTCAGAATTAGGTTAAGTTAGCAATACTGCTGTGGTTAGATCTATTCCTGCAAAATACAGTAGTGTTGATTTTGTTTTGTTTTTAATCATAGAAAACATAAATGATGTAAGCACCCATTTTACCCTCAGTTACACATGTGCAGTTCCCATTATGCCTGACTCTATAAGTCTTCTCAGTGCAAAATGGCCATTGGAAACCATGGGAGTTCTGAATGTGGAACGCTTAATTATGGGGATCAGTGTAATCAGTGTAAACTGGACACACGGGAAAAACTGGCACTATATAAATATATTATCTTGCCTCTGGTTATGGTCATTTTTATAGAATGTAGTAGGCCAAATCATCGGTCACAAATAATTTTTTTACATAGAATGTATTTAAGACAATAATAGTATTTAAGAGCTAATGCTGGAAAAGAAGATTCCACATGTTAAACAAAAACTAATGAGCAAACAAAGAACAACCTACCATACTACAATTAGATTATTTTTGAAGTCTGTATACTCAATATGCAACTAAAATAGGTTTTAATTTCTAAAAAACGCTTGTGAATATATTTGATTTCTGTGGGCAAAGACACAGAAATTGTTTCCATGAACAAGGCTGGAAAGAAAATGAAACTGATAAACACCAATTTTTAAGTATATTTTATTTAAGTAAAAGTGTTTATAAATTTAAAAGAAATGACATGTTCCTACAGAAAAATTTGTGATATTGAAGGTGGCTAAAAGTCCTGAAAATTCTGGATTGAAGGTCTGAATCTATACTCTTAAAACAAGTGTTGGCAAGTCAGAGCCTGTAAGTAAGAGTATATATAATTCTTTTCATGTGATAGTTCATATATAGATAACATGTCTCACAAAGACTGTAATTAAATGTCTAGTGCACTAGTGATGCTAATAAGCATATGGTATTTATATTACAATGAATCCTTAGAAAATAAAACTGTCTTTTTAAGATGTTTTTAATTATTCTTGGGACTTTTGATACCAATCAAGAGAACCAACTTATGAATCAAAACAGTCATAGTTTAAATACACTTTCCACCACTGTTCCCCATATAAAACTTATTTGCTTATACTTTAATTATAAACTTTTTAACACTCAGGTTGAAATTACATGTTTTTGCTTGCTGTTGCTATACGCATGAATATAAACTACTACATAAAACAGTATTAGAATTCGAAACACTGAAATCTATTCTGTTCAAAACTTATTTTTCATTGCAAATGGTTATACTCTAGTTACTGACAGGCATATTAAAATACTTAAAAGTAAAATCTTTTTAGTTTGGATCACAGAGTAACATGACTGCTTTTGCTCAGAGATTACTTATGGGGGCAATCATAATGGGAACTTATACAGTATAGAGTTTTTCATCCAAGTATATCAGAGTGCTATGCAAATAGAAACTAACTAAGCCTTATAATACCAATCATACAAATAGGCATTATCATATCAGTTTTGTGGGATAGGGAAAATAAAAGTCTTATTTGCAAAGAAACTGAGAACCTACAGTTTCCAGTGATTTCAGCTGAAGTGGTGAACTCTCAATTCATGTGAAAATCAGGCCCCAGTTGTGCAATTTTCAAAATCACTTAAGTACTTAACTCCCATTATTTAGGTACTGTGATTTGTCTAAGGACACAGTTTGAGTCAGTAGCAGAGATGCAAATGGAACCAAGGAATATTGACATGTTACTCTGTCTACCAGGAAAGGATTAAGGGATGATCCTTAAAGTGCAGTCCCAATAGTCTGTTGTGTCCCCCAACACAATACACAAATTACTACTGCTGGCCAAGAACTTACTACCAAAACAGGAGCCTGGCTGAAGTGGATGCACTCTGGGTTTAAAGGTCCTGCCTGAACACCTCAGTTCATGTCATAATATGAGCAAAGGTAAAAGTCCAACTCAGCTGATATATGTGGTACACACTAACATCTCTCTGAAAAGAACAATTTTCAGTTCCACATAATCGTAATCCATGTATGTAGTTCATGAAAGAATCATGACACTGATGAAAAGGGTTTATTTCATGAACCATTGTTATCAAAGCACAGTTGCGGCAAAATAACTGAAATGGTATACATAGGCCAATATCAAAAAAAGAAACGTTATACTATCACATGGTATCCTCAATTCTTACATGTATAGACACAATCCATATATATTTACTCTGGAACAGAATAACTGATTTCAGAAAAAGTATTTTTAAAAATAAACAGTAAAAGGTATAGTTAGCATACATTCTGTGGAACTAAGCATTGTTTATGTTTTGTTCGTACTATATAGGTAAGATCTAATAGTAATCTCCCACCAGTTATATGCAAATCTAACACCATTGCCTTAAACTGCATTACTCCTGATTTTCATCAACATGAGAGAAGAGAAGAGAATTAGGCCCAACAAGTTTTAAAAGATGTTTACTATTCAGAACAGCGCTTAAGAATGAAAAGTATGTTATCAAACTAGAATAATTTTAAGGAGAATCACTTTGTATAACTGATCTGATTCAATATTCTACACATGGGCCACAATCTAGCTTTAATCTTTGTTCAGAATTTCATCCAGTGTTTCAGTGATCTGTACAAGGCCCCGATGGAGGGCTTTAGAAACGATAAAAAAGTAAACATTTTCTAACCAGTAAACAGATACTACTTATATGTGATACCAAAAAATGCTAACTGTTGATCAACAGATACTTTTTAAAAATGGCCATTGTATATCCTTTTGTTGCAACAATCACAAATGGTGGTACATTATTGATGAAAATTAGAGTTGTTAGTACCACACATATGGAAGTGGACGTATACTTTTAATTTAATATTAAATGTAGTAAGTTTATAACTTGTTTTGAACCTCAGTGGCAAAGATTTTATGCGGAATGTCCTGACTGCCATTATATTCTCTCTCTCTCTTCAAAGTGGAAGCTATTTTTACTAATGTTATCAGCCAGAAACAAAGATTAAAATAACATAAAGGGCTTTTCTGAGGTAGGAAATAGACTTTAAGAATTTGTGCAATTTACATAAAAATGCTACAAGTTCTTATTTAACAATCAAACTGGAAAATCGGTTTGTTTGGTTTTTTTGTTAAATAATGTACAGCAACATTGGAAAAAATAAAGTTTAAAAATGCATTACATTGCATCGCGAAAAAGTTGCACAACATCTGTCTTTCAGTTATTGACAAAATGTCCCTGTCCTTACTGCAGTTGCCCGAAAATATAATCTCAGTGTTTTGGTAGGCATATATTCTTAAGGAATGTTTTCACCGTTTGAAAAAACTTAGGAACACTAGATAAAACTGAATACTGTTTCTTTAAAACTGGCTTCTGCATGCCACAGAAAAGAAGATGGAATCATATTTTTTTTTAAAGTTCCTCATGGTGTGGAATGACAACAAACTTCTTTTTCAAACAAGGAAGAGTCAGCTGCCATGGATAACACCACAGGTAGATATTAAAATGGAGACAAAACCATTATTTAGTGGCGAGAGCAATATAAATACATACACTAACCTATAAACTGGTATTTACTTCAGGAAAGTAAGTAATATTTTTCCTCTGATTTGCTGTGTTGTCAGTTTAATGCAGTGTAAATAAACAGTAGGTGCATGATAGCTTTAAGTAGAAAGTGTTCACTCCACAAGAGAAGCCGATTACTAAAGCCTCATGCCCATTATGGCAAAAATAGAACTTCCATTTTAACAGAAAAATATGTCCTCTCATGCTAAGTGATTTGTAGCTTTTCTATTAAATCAGTGTCAAAATTCTATGAAATATGCTATGCTAACAACTTTACCAAAAAGATTCATTTTGGTATCTGTAAGTTTGAATAATGAAAAAAGTAAAATTCTTCTGTAATTTTATTATCCCGCTCCAAATGAAAACTTCAAATCATCATCCTAGTATAATAAAAAAAATTAAAATGATATATAGAACTACCTACACTTTCAGTTTTTTTCTCCTGGTGTTCCCTCATTGAAAAAAAAAAAAAAAAAAAAAAAACACGCCAACAACAAAATTTCCGCTTTAGAAAAAGCAATGATTTCTAAGGAAATTGCATATACACTCTACATCTATTAACATAAATTAAAAAGAAACTAAAATGTTCCTTTTATGTTTAAAACTGTTCTAACAGGAAAGTTGTGGTTTCATTAGATATTTAATAAATATATCTAGAGACAGCAATGACAGGTATGCATTAACAGGGGGGTAGAATTCCGCAGTAGTATCTATGCTAAAACAGAACAGCCCTTGGAAACATTTGTTAAACCACATTTTCCCAATTTTAAGAGAGATTTAAGTAGCCTAGAATGTTGTGTTATCTATAACAATTTATCTGTAGTCTAGGTACAAAATATTAATAAATTGATCAATGTATGAAATTATTAAAACTTGGTAATCTGTCTCCGTCCTGGAATACAACTAGAAAGCATAACAAGGATTTCACATTAATCTTATGATATTCAGTTACAAAACTGGCAAACAGCTATAGTTCAACAAATATATTACCTGACTGAAATCAAATTTTCCTTTAATTCAACAGATCAAGTTAGATTTTTCAAAAAATAATAAGGCTAAACTCTAATTGATGATTGCAAAAATGGAAGTAATATGCATTTAATGCCTTCTCCAACCAAAATATTAATGCAATACAAGTTGTGGTTATCTATGACTTGATTACATGTCAGAGAAACACTTCTGTGGTTTGAAAGGGCACACCTGCCTACATCCCTTTGGAATTTTGTATTAGAGAATTATGGTGCTTTGAAGACAGCACCTTGTATTTAGTTTAGTACTATTTGTAACCACAAGATCTCTATAATAATACAGGGACAGGTGCTTATCAGGTGACCTTATGGGCCTACACTGCAAACGGTAACCTGTTCAGATAAAAATGATTATTACAATCTTTGGCTAATTAGGGAGATTCTCTCTTTCTTCTTACTCTGCAAATCAACATGTACCATTAACAAATCACAGATTGACTTTGCCTGTTTTATATTTCTCTCTCAGAAATAAGTATCAAGGGGACTTATCCTTAGATAGGTCTTGTTAAAAGAACAGAAGACAAGGAGGAATGCTTGTGGAGTAACTTAGCTATTTAACAGTTCAAGAACAAAGAATATAAAAAAAGAAACTAACTTTTTAAAAATGCATGAACAAAAAACATTCCACTTAAATATTTTTGTCCCAGTAAACTCATTTTGCATACAAAGAACTATTATTTATTACACATTTGCACTTGTGGGGAAAAGGAGGAATGCACTGATTCTAGAAAGAAAATACTATACAGGCTTTTTGGAGACTTCCCTCTATGTTCTTGTTTTACTTAGATTACTGTTTTTCCAGGGAAAAGAGGAATTCCTTGAAGTCAGTTGTTTCTTTTACATTAGCTGTTGGTATTCAGGACGGGGTACAACTGCAGACAATGATTTTATTTTTGTTATAGAGCCTTGTAATGTATGTGGGCTATCAATTGATATGTATATACACAAAACATATGTATGCATACATACGCTATCTTTTTACATTCACTTTTTACTGTACATGTTTACACATTTGTGTATAAAATATTTCCACTTGATAAGGGAGATATTAAAATCTGAAATAGGAAATGTGTATATAAAGTGTATACATAATATTAACACTGTAAGTGTATACGATGCACATTACAGCCACTGTACTATATTCAAGTCTTTACACAGTATGCATACAGTTCAACTTTCTTTATAAAATAATGCACCAGAATTAATATCGTTATATCTGGTGATTGCTTGAAAGACTTGAAGAGATAGGGAAATATCCAATCCAATCCCTGTATTAACTAACATTACAATTTTACACTTATTGTAACCTTTTCTAACAATGTGAGAAAAACAGAGTAAATATATTAAATTTGTTTCACAACAGATGCTTAGGTTGTTAATATTTAAGATGCTTATTCATGCTATTCCTGTCTGCACATTTGTCAAAAATGTAAGCTTGAATGCTAATGTTTGCCAGCAGACTGAAGCAGACAAATATATACTAATGTACTATACCAAATGATATAAAGTAGAAATAAAGGGCTGCTGCTAAATCCTGCTGCTAACCCTAGTACTGTCTACTACTAGAACCTTAGAGCTGTTGAATCTGAAATTGTGAATTATTTCCATAGGACAATTACATTAGGTTTGACTGAATAAAACTGATTATTGGTTTTTTCCATTTTTTTCTTCATTTTGGGTGAAAAGCTGTTGTAAAATATTTTAACCCAAGTTTTCAATGGGATAATAAGGGTTTCTCTGTCAGTAACCTAAGCACTTTAGATTTCTGGGACTAGCAGTATAAAACTTGGAAACTTGCAGGTGTCTGTCATTGGTTCTTCACCCTAGAACTAATCAAAGATTTCACCAAAAATGTGATTATTAGAGGAAGTTTTCTGTTGGACTTTTAAAAATATCTAAGGTATAAAATACTTGATTTGAATTATTTTCCTTTGAACTAAATGAACCTTATATAGATTGCAAAACGTCGTTTCAAATGAGGCTCTGGGGTCTTTTAAACTTTGGCAGTATCTCGGTGGGACGCTTTGGCTAACGTACTTAAAACTACCAACTTAGGGGGGATTGTCTAAGTGCCTGTTCCCCTGTGGGCCCTTCGCTGCCTCTTCATGGACCAAACCAGATCTGAAATGGAGAACGCCAGGGGAAGGAGGTGCAGAGGAGAAGAGATAGCGTACCTGGGCTTACTGTGCTTCCTCACCACTAAGGTCACTGACACGCCAGCTGCCACGACGCGTGCTGCGAGGAGAAACCTTCCCCTCTCAGAGATCACTGCCAAAGTTGATCTTTTCCGCCTCTCTCCTCCCCCTTCCCCCATGAAGCCTCGCAACACACGGTCTTCAACAACTTTGCGTTTCAGGTTAAACACGTCGGCCAAGTGCCCCTCAACACAACCCAGCCCACGCACGTTTAACAAATGCATCTTCGCAGCGCGCCAAACCCAGGCAACCTGTCGCCAAGGCGGCTGGCACCTCCCGAGCCCAGCGCGTTCTCAGGGGAACGTGGGGGGAAGTTTGCCAAACTTTCAGGGAACTTGCCTTTAGGGGAAGGGGGCTACCGGGCCAGTGACTTCGGCTCTGCCCCTCCGCAGGGGGTCAGCAGCCGGAGCCGAGGGAAGACTCCCCCCGCCCCCCCGCA